CTCGGCTCTTGAAACAAACATGTTTTGTCAGTCTTCTGGCTCATTCCATTTTGGTTTCTTTTCTTTTCTTTTTTCCTGGTAAGGTTATACTTATCTGGTTATACTTCCAGCCAGTGGCGAGATCTTAACTGCTGGGTGTATGCTTGGTGGCTGTGGGCGTGCTCAGCTCTCGTGTTTATCCAAGCTTGTGAAAAAGTGTTGGTTATGGCTGACTAATCAAACAAGGCAGGCAGATAAGGGGAGTTTGACCTGCGGAAAGGCTGCTGGCTGCCACCAGCCAGGGCTGGAAGGGCCGTTAGCAGACAAATAGGCTTTGCAAGAGGTTGGCTGTGGCTTAAAAAGGAGCCTCTTGAGATCTAGGGAGACGTTTCCTAGCCCTGGCCTCCGCACCTGCTTAAAAAAATCTCAGAATATTTCAGAATAGAATAGAGCTGGAAGGGATCTTGGAGGTCTTCTAGTCCAGCCCCCTGCTCAAGCAGGAGACCCTGTACCATTTCAAACAGGTGGCTGTTGATAGTTGTCATTTTCCATGGTTGATAGTTGTCATTTTCAGAAAGCTTCTCCTTAGTTCCCGGTTGCTTTTCTCTTTGATTAGTTTCCATGCATTATTTCTTGCCTTGCCTTGCCTTGCCTTCTGGTGGGGTGATCTGGGACATCCCAGAGCAGAAAGGGATCTGCCAGGAGCTGCACAGTCTCTCATCTGTGGGAATTAAATATCTGTTCCTCCCCACAGTTAGGGACAAGGCAGAAAACAGATCCCAGTGCTTTAATTAAATCCAAGTCTCCAGGGTGGTCTTTCCAGACCTCTTCAGGATTGTGGACTTTGGTTTGATCTTGTCCCTGCTTTTCTGCGTTGTTGGGAGGAGAAGGGTGGAAAGAGGGTTCTTTCTTCCCTGCAGGCCCCCAAAATGAGGTTTTGGTCTCGTAGGCACCAGCTAGAAATCAGGGGGCTGGAAGTTCTAATCTTTCTAGTCCTGCCTCAGGCATTAAAGCCAGCTGGTGACTTTGGGCCAGTCCTCCCCTCTCAGTCCAACCCATCTCACAGGGTTTTATTTAGTTATTTGACATGTTGAAGAACTGCCCATCTCCTTCACAGAGATGGGGTTGCTATGGGGCAAATAGGAGGACAAAGTAGTACGTTAACTGCCTTGAGTTATGTATAAAAGTATTAAAGGCGAGATAAAAAAAACAACTAAAAGATTTATGCCAAGAGCACAGTTGGGGAATTCTGGGAGTTGAAGCCCAAAGGTCCTAAAATTGCCAAGGTTGGACACCCCTGATTTATGCCATAAAGTAACACTTTTTGTCAAATACCCCAGCCAAACAAATTCATATTTTAAATGAATTGATCCCTGTCACCCAGGCAGCCAACGGGGAGAATGTTGTCTTTTGAATTAGGAACTCAGTATTGGCATACTGAAGTGCGAAGGCCGCAGCCTGCTCTGCATTATTCCAAAATTAAGGAAACTGTTTTCGGATCTTGAGGTCTGCTCAGGGAGCTTTGCTCTGCATCCCCTTACTCAAAGCAGCACCGCCTTTGCTGTTCCTTCCAAGGCTGACCCTAACTGGCATCCTTTCAAGTGAGAATCTGGGGCTTGATCATAACAGCTCTCTTCTGAGGTTGGATCTGGATCAGTTTTATTGCTTGCCTAACTCTTTGGCTTCCTTGATTGCATCCTGCTCAGAGATCAGCAGATACAGCGTGACCTCTAGATACTTCAGTCCATAGAAAAACAAGTAAGGGCACAGGTGAGGACTATTTATTATTGTGTCATAAGGCACATTCACATCACATTTCAATAAAAAAGGTAAAGATACAAAACATGAAGTAGAAAGTCTAAATATTATAAACGTACGTCTAGATTACAGATATAATTTTTGCTTCATTTGTCAGAGCCATAAAATCGGCAATGTCTCCAGTCCAGTCGCTGACACTATAATGTTGGATAGTTTGCTTTTTGGCCCTGCAGTCACAGTTGGGTGAGGGTATTTTGTCCCACTTACAGAGAGCATCAGTAGATCTTCCAGGACTGAGCTACACCAGTTGGATGCGAGTTCCCCAGATGGCTCAACTCGGTCCGAATAGTGAGACGGAGGGCATATAAATTTAATAAACAAATAAATAACTTTCCCTTCAGTCAGGGGGGGAATTGATCCCGAATTGTTATGGTTCTGCTCCGCTTCTTTCTGTCCCACCATCTTGCACTCAACCTTTTTCAGAAAGTGTTTCAAGAAAGTAAAGTATGCAATTCTTATTTGATGGGATGTGGGCTTAGGGGTGTGTGTGTCAATTCTCTCCCCCTTACTATGAACTCTTAATAATTTTGCTGAAGAAGAAACCCCCCATTCTTGCAACCTTTGGCACAGAGGATGAAGAAAGGAAACACAGACAATTGGGGCCGCCAACTGTGTCACTGCAGGGATGAATCTGATCAGAGTTGTAAGGGACGCTTAATTGGACTGTGGAAAAAATTGCAGCATCGCACGGAGGGTGAAAGAAGGCGTGTTGTTTAAGTCAGGGGAAATCACCCCCCCCCCCCAATGCTTGACTAGAGCTGGACTGCTCAGCACTCACTTTAACCGCCAATATTTTCCCTTCCTGCTTATACGGTATGCCAGCATTTCTCAACCTGGGCAGTTGGAAGATGTGTGGACTTCAGCCCCAGAATTCCCCAGCCAGCATACCTTAAAAATGGAATAGCTGGCTGGGGAATTCTGGGAGTTGAAGTCCACACATCTTCAAACTGCCCAGGTTGGGAAACACTGCAGTATGCTTTATTCACTTGTGCTTCGCTTTACATTTTAGCCATCTTTTTCTGACCCGCTCTGATTTGGAGCTGGATAACGGAACTTGAATGATTCTGGCCACGGTTACATAGGTTTTTGAATTCCAGTGGGTTAGACTTGAAGTTTTGAACCTCCTGTACATCTCGCCTGTAGCTTCCTTTGTCTTTGGATCCGAGTGCTCAGATTCAGTCATGTTTTTTTTCTTAAACTCAAATTGCACATATTGGAAATGTTCTAGGTTTGGGGAAAATTCACTCCCTGGCGTGTACTGAAGGACTCCTTCTTTTGTTTCCCCAGTGCTATTCCAACCTCAAATCCTTCACCCCTCGTTGCTGAACTACAGTGGCGTCTGCCTGCTATTCGGTGCTTTCGTAGAATCATGGGAAACAAGTGGATAGGAATTCAGACATAGTCGCTTTTTTCAAGGAACAGCACTGTAGAACGAACGGCCGTAAGGTTCTCTGATGTATCCCAAAGACTGTGGTGATGAGTACGGTGGGAAAAAGTAGACTTGGTTTTTTTCTTTCATATTTTCCATATTTCTCCAGTAACAAGAACGGCTGGAGGCTTCCTTTCTCTTTTTGGTACAAGTCTGTTTAGCTCAGTATTTCTCAACCTTGGCAACTTTAAGATGCGTGGACTTCAACTCCCAGAATTACCCAGCCAGCCATGCTAATGTGCATGAGCGATACTGTGCAGGCGATGTGAAATGACTAATGGACTCAAGGGCAACAGTTCTTTTTATGCCACTAAAGCCCACCCTTACCACAGGCGAGCCAGGTAAATGGTGGAAAACTCTCCCATACTGGCTATAAAAGTGTATATACGCCAAGGAGGTGTGTGTGATCAGGTGTGTGAGCTATGACAAGCTGGGTAGAACTCCTGTGGTCCGTGCATGATCACTTTAATGAAAAGAAGGACTAGCGGAGACATGATAGCAGTGTTACAGTATTGGAGGGGCTACCATAAAGAAGAGGGGTTTTTCCAAAGCACCTGAAGGCAATGGATAGAAATTTTTCAAGGAGAGAAGCAACCTAGAACTGAGGAGAAATTTCTTGATAGTGAGAACAATTAATCAGTGGGACAACTGGCCTTCAGAAGTTGTGGATGCTCCATCACTGAAGGACAGCCACCTGTCTGAAGTGGTGTAGGGTCTCCTCCTGCCTGAGCAGGGAGTTGGACTAGAAGACCTCCAGGGTCCCTTCCAACTCCGTTATTCTGTTATTTCTGAAAAGTCACCAGGAATTGATCTGAACCCAAAGGAGGTTTTGCCTTTATACACAACAGGTTAACACTTTTGTGATCAGGTACTGCTTGCTGTGAGTGCACATATCATCTAAGAAGCTTTGTCGGCATGCCAGGGTTAATAACAGTGGCCAGCAAGATCCCCATGGCTGTGCCACGCTTAATTCTTCCTCGGTCATGGGCATTCATGGGTCCGCTAACTTGCAGCTCATAAAATGGATTTTTAATTGTGGAGTGAAGTAGATTCACTGGCTTGTTATAAAGAGGATAGGAGTATTTGTAATAAAACCGCCCAGAGTCACTTCATTGCCAGCATCGTTTGACAGCCATGTAAATATGATGGATGAATGAATAAATAAATTAGTAATGAAGATTCAGCCCCAGCCGTCCCAAGGGTGGGGGGAAACATTTTCTCTCCCTGTTGTGCAATGATGCTCAAACGTTTTGTGGATTATCGTAAGATTTGCCAACAAGGCTTGTACGCCTTTTTTACTGTTGTGCTTTTCACAGTAAAGAGCGTTATGTTTTATGGGGTAAAGTTTAGATGCGACATTAACTCTGAATATCAATTCAGTGGGCCACGATGGTCACATCAGGAAGGCAGAATCCCTTTGCACTAGTAGGTTGCAGGGATGTCTGATAGAGAGGAGGAGATGGATGTCTGGTTACACACGCACGCACACACACACGCACACACACCCCCTCTGCAGAATACACAATTGGAAAGAGGGCTGCCATTGCATTCTTGGTGGTTAAAACTCAGTCTGGAAAAGTTGGTCGTTGGAGCAAATGTGTTGGGAGCGTTTGGTCCTTTGGGAGTAACCGGCAAAGAGCTTGTGCTTCAGAGCCAGAAGTGTGGAGAACTTCCCCAGCCAATGGACTGCGGAGAAGGGAGGGAGGGAGGGAGGGAGCGTTTAATTAAAGAGAGGATGGGCCGAAAAGCCATAAAGAGCAGGGGATGGGCCGAGGTGCTTCCTTTTAGCTGCCACAGCCTGTGGACAAAGGCAGCCACGGGGCCACGATGAAGTCTCCCGAGGACGAGTGTGCGTGTAAGTCTGCTGTCTTCACACCTTTCGGGAGCATTGAGTGTGAGAAGCCTGTTCGGCTGGGTTTGCCAGCATCCCTTGGAGGAGGAGGGCACCTTCTTCCTCACTTACTTGGTGCTTACCATTCCCATTGTTATTACAGCCAGAAAAAAAGGGGAGGGGGGCATTTGTTGGGGCAGGGGTTGCTTTCAGAGCCGCAAGCAAGTGCCGTGACCTGTCTGGGGGATGGATTCATGGCTGGTCTTTGGATCTCTGCGGATTGACAGTGGGGCTCTGTGCCTGTGCTGAAGGGGCTTTGGGCAGTTTTCTAGGGCCCGGAAGGGGCAGGTGGGGCTCCTTTGTCCCAGCACAACTTTAATGTTTGTGTGCCTTGTTGTCTGAATCCACTCATGGATCAATTTTCTCTCAAACTTTGGAGAGAGAAGCAGACGTGAGTCTGGAGATGGTTTTGTTACAGGGCTGTCTGTGCAGCGGCTCTCCGGCTGAGTTCGTACGAATCCTAGAGACGTGGCTTTTGTTCCCCTGTCTGGCAAGCGCGATGGGAAGGGCGTGGAAAAGGCGGAACAGCTTGGAAGGCAAGCAGGGCTCCCGAGAAATGCAAGCTCAGCCTTTGGGGATCAAGTTGGTGCTGTCTGGAAAACAGCCCCAACTTGCAAACTTTTCTTGGCTCCCCATCTGTTTTGAGGGAGCCTCTGCTTGTCTCTGGACCAGCGCAGAGCAGAGCCGGAGGGGGTTTCTCTCGCCTTCATTGAGCAATCCAGGAAGCCCCAGGTGCCACGATCGTGGGCAGCTTGTCATTTTTCATTTGACTAGATAAATGGTCAATTACTAGCAACAAAGCAAGGGCTCTTGATAAAGCTGCTCTGCTTCCGGATGTTCTTCATCCTAAAAGCCGCCCAGAGTCGCTTTGGATATGGAGACGAGCGGTGTATAAATTTAATAAGTAGATAAAAGTGCTTGCCGGGCAGCTGATGCATCTGAGTTCAGTGGGTTTGGAACGTGGCAGGATTTGAGGCCCACGGATGATGTCTTGTTTCAGACACTCGAGAAGCTTGAAATGGCTCCTTCCCTCCGTGTCTGATGAGAGCAGATGACATTGGGCAGAGTAAAGCTATTTGCCTCTTGGTTTCTTAATGGGCATCCCGTTTTCCAGATGTGGAGTCTGACTTTGCCTTGGACGCTGGTGAATGTTCATTCACTGGAACTCAGCACGCATGTCCATCAGCCTCTTCCTTTATGCAGATCAGGTCTGCAGGGTTGAGCATTTCAGGGCTCTCCGCTTCTGCTTCTACCCTACAGGTCAGCAGCCAAAGAACGTGAGCTTCTGATGATCCTGTGGGGCTGGATTTGGTCCTGGGGTCCTCAAATGTGAATCTACCACAGATCAGGCACATCGGTCAGTTCATTCCTGCATAAAACATTTTGGCCAAAAAAACCCTTCTATTTTCTTACTCCTCTTCCAAAATCACCTCCTCCCTGTTGTAGTAAAAAGGTCGGTACTTCTCGGGTTGCCTGGAGAGTTTACGGGCAGAGTTCAAACACAGAAGGCCTCTCCACAGCCTGTCTCTTCATACGGAGGGTTGCATGCTCGCTCTTAATGGCGCTCTGATTATTTCCCAAACGCGGCTAGCGATGGAGGTCAGGCGGGGAGGACGCCTGGGTCTGCCTCCTGAGGTCACTGGAGCCACAGAGCAAGAGCACCAGGGCACCTGGGATTATGGGGCTGCTAATGAAATGCTTTGAGCTTTTAATCAAGCGGCACTTCAGCTGAGCAGAAAGCCGTCTTGAAAGCTTGCAGATCATCGTGAATCTCTCTCTTAAGCTTTGGGCCAGCTGCAGAACCCGGACAATAACAGGCCTGAAGACTTTGCTCAGCCAGGCACAAGGTTCGGTTAATGCAGCAGCGCTGAGCCTGCGCTCTCTGCCCTCTCTGAGGGAAGCAAACAGCACATTCGCCGGTTGAGGAAGGCTGAGCTGTGCGGGGGCCACCCTGGACGACTCTTTCTGAGAAGCAGGGGAGACCACCTAGGCCTCCCTCAGACGGAGCCGTTGTCCAAGCTGTCTGTGGAGATTCTCCGTCATCCAGGTCACGGTGGTCCCAAAGGTGCTTTTTCGAGAGGCAGCCGGGCGTCATCCAAGAAGCTGAGGACCCGGATGGTTGGGGGCAATAGGCTGACTGTGTAAACTGCTTAGAGAGGGCTGTAAAGCACCGTGAAGCGGTATAGAAGTCTAACTGCTACTGCTGTTCTTCTGTTCTGAAGAACTGAACTTTAAAGCACAGCTTTTTAAACTGGTTTTTTCACTGCCCAGTTCTCAGTGACGCTGGGCATTTCACGGAGGAAAACACACAGGACCACAGGAACAAAGAACAGAAGATGGCAAAAGCTAGATAACCACGAAAACAAATTCACACGACCCAGAAGTGGACTTGAACCAAAGGCCTGGGCAAGAAGATTCTGGATCTGTTTCTGGAATTGGGTGTCCCTATGCCCACTTATGCGGAAAAAGGAAGGAAGACCCTCCCTGAGGCTGCGGGCTCTCACGGGGTGGCCTCCTTTCCCACGTCCAAGAACCATCCCTCCCTCCCTCCCTCCCTCGGAGAAGAACGGTTTGCTTTTCAGCCTGGCCCGCTCAGCAAGGAATTGCAATAGAGCAGGAGGACGGTGGATTCTGATGGATCTGTCCCTGCCTCTCTTCCTTTGAAACGGGAGCTTTAGTTCCAGCACTTTCGACTTTCAGATTTTCAGGACTGCTTCCTCGGGAAATGGCGGAAGGGATTTTGGCACATGAAAGCGTCACGCTCTGCGTTGCATTGGAGGGCTTTTCATCTTCTTTTGTAGTTAAGCTAAGCTCTGGCAGAGGACCCAAATCTGCTGCAGGGATGGCGCCCCACACTTCAGTTTTGCCCCCCAAGAAAACTTCCTCTTTTTCACAGGCTGTTGTGATAAAATAAATTGATTTATATCTGTGCCTGAAAGTCAGGTTGCGGTTGGAAGTGAAAATGTCAACCGATGCAGCTCGTTCCTGGTTGTGCTTTGCTTGGTCGCTTCTTTTGGGATAAATTGTGCTGCGAAACTGATCTCCCGGGAAGGTCAAGCTTTTTGTGCTGGGGGGCCCTTCCGCCTTTGGGCTGAGAAATTGGAGCAGACTCGCCTCAGCCCTGCCACCCACCAGAAATCAAAGCCCTGCTGGACTACTAGAAGGAGGGGGGGGAGGAACATTAGCCCCCCCCTCCTTCTATCTGCTTTAAGGGTGAGCAGTGTAGGAACAGGATTCCCCTTAGAGAACTGTGGAATTTCTTAGCAGGCTGGTTTAGATAAAGTCTGTTTGATTTGCACACTCATAATTCAGGATAAGAAGAGACTGGACAACCATTTGTCTGAAAGGATGGAGCAGGGGCTTGAACTAGAAGTCCTCCAAGGTCCCTTCCAACTTTGTTCTTCTGGTCTCTTCTGACTCCACTCCACTATATAGACTATTTAGGCCCCTTTACTACCTGTGGACTTCAACTCCCAGAATTCCCCAGCCAGCAGAGGATCGGCTGTGATCCCAACCCGTCTGGGGTGTCCTGGTTTGCTTTTTGCAGCCCCATGAATGGCCACGCCCTGTAGAAGAGGAGGGTCTTACAGTACCTTGTGGCCCTCTAGACCTGGCAGAGATTTTCCTTTAGGAATGCAGGTGTGTTTGTGTCAAATGACACACCTTTCACCTCTTGCTGAGTCCGTGAGTCTCCGTGCCGTGCATTTGATTTGCCAGATGGAGAGCCAGGCTTCTGAGCTGCTTGCCTGCAGAGCAAAGGAACAGAGACCGTCCAAGGCAATAATGCCTGGCAGCCTCTTTGATGAGTGCTGGAAGTCTAGAGTCCTTTGGGTTTCCCTTCCACTCGTAGCTGGGCCGGGGAGCTGCAGCCAAAGCAGTTAAGGAGATCACACTGGAGAGAAGTGACATTGCCAAAATCAAAATATTTTTGCACTCCTCAATTTCTCACTCTCGCTTCTTCCTTCTGTATCGTTTCCTGGTATAAACAAGGCTGGTGCTACTTTATACGAACTACAGAAACCCTCTTTGGAGCCACGTTTTTTGCTGTTCAGGTTTTTTTTCTAATGCTAATTTTACGCTTCCTGAGAAACCTAATTTTCTAAATCTTTGCATAATCTTTCTCCGCACTGACAAAAATGGCGACATGATTCACTGCTGCTCTTTTCTGTGTCGCTGCCTAGTTTGCCTTGGCTGCCTTCCCTGTCTTGGTCAAGGGAGGCCTGCTGGCCCAGTTGGGCAAACGGAACGGGGGGGGGGAGGGGGATGCTTTGCTGACGAAAGGACCGGTCCAACCGGATTGGTGAGGCACGCTGCAGAGTTCTGAGTCTCTGGGCTGCAGCTGATCCCAGGAACGCCTTTGGGATCACCAGGGCTGGGATTTGGATGAGATCAACTCAAGACTCCCCGAGAGGAGGAAGCCAGTAGACTCCCCCCCCCACTCTTTCTCCTTTGTCCCGTTTGGAGCATGGACCATTCAGGTGGAAACGGTTTCTCAGGGGAGCAGGGTAGATAAGGCAGAATCTGGGGGCCAGAAGACCAGGTGGGGAGGGCTGTGGGGCAGAGGAGGAGGAGAATTCACGTGCTCTGAGGATGGATGGATGGATGGATGGATGGCGGTGTGCATGTCTGTGTGTGTGGCTTTCTCTGGTGTTGCTGAGCTGGGAAAACAGGGTCATAAAAGTTCAGCAGCCGAAGCCCCTCCAGCCAGGAGGTGTTTCTAAGAAGCACAGCAGCATGAAACATGCCAGTAGCCCTTCTTCGCCTTCCCTCTTTTAAGCCAGCCTTCCCTGATCTGGGCTGCTTTGGTTATCCATTCCCAGTTCAGTCCAGCCACCCAGAGGAAGCTGGCAAGGCTGAGGGTGCAATCTGCACTTTTGGGAGAACCCCACAGGCCGGATTAGGGAAGGCTGCTCAGCTGTGCCCTTCCTGGGTGTTCCGGAGGTTTGAATTTGCCTCCCATTGATCCTGTACCTGAACCCTGTGCAAGTCCATGTGTTCCTCCTGTCCGCCTAGCAGGGGCCTCTTGGTGGAGGGTGCACAGGAGGGACTGGCGCTCTGACAGGAAGGGAGCATTGATCTCCCATGCTGCTGATATGCTCACTATGAAGCCACAAACCTTTGGGGGTGGGGTGTGCCTCCTTGTGGGAACCAAGGGTGTGGGGTGGGAGGCTTTTCCACGCTATGCTCTGGAGCTGCTGATCTACAAGAAGGGTTTACTCCATTAAGATTTTTTTTTAAAACCCTCCCCCTCTTTCTTCCAGGTCTGCTAGCCAACATCACCATGTTCACCAAAAAGAAGAAACGCATCGAGATCTCGGCCCCCTCCAACTTCGAACACCGGGTCCACACGGGCTACGACCAGCAGGAGCAGAAGTTCACGGGGCTGCCCAGGCAATGGCAGGGCATCATCGAGGAGTCGGCCAAGCGGCCAAAGCCACTGGTGGACCCCGTGTACATTACGGCCGTCCATCCCGGCTCTCAGAAGGTGGGTGGCACCTGAGTTGGGCTCTCACGTGGCCCCTGACGGCAGAGATGGAAGGCCGGTGCTTAGAGGAGAGAAGTTGGGTTTTAGAACAGAGAAAGTCCAGTTGCGCACCTTTGGGAGAACCATCACCTTGGTGGCTGAGAATCTCCTGAGACCTTCAGCATTTGCGATCTGTTCAAGGCCGAGACTTCATGAGCTTTCCTCGGTCTCTCGGTCTCGTGTGGAGCGTAGACCCGAAGGGACCAGAGTCACAGACCTTGAGTTCTTGGAGTGTAATGTGAGAACTGAGAGAGCATAGAGGAAGCTCTGTTTGTTCCTGAACTGCCACTTTGCTTCAGGCGGAGTTCCCGAGAGTGCGCATTCAGCTCTCACAAGCAGTGAGAGATGGTCTGTCATGCAGCCAATGTCCACTTCTCCAGGGCCCGCATCTTTTCAAAACACACATGGCTGCAGCTCTGACGCTGGAAGTGCGAGGCATGCCCAGCTGCCAAGATTCGGATCTTGGCACAGCAGCCATGCCAGGGTGCCCTCTCTTGAGTTGGCCCCGGAGACCCAGGCCGTGGCTATTCAGAGTCGGTCATGAGGCTTAGCTCATGAATGGCTGTAAGTCACCTGTACCCATCCCCCTGTTCTCCCCTAGAGATCTCCTCTTTGCCACCTGGACATAAAGAGCCTGACAAGGCATGGCAGAGCATGGGTCTCACTTGCTCAAGGATCTGGCTGCATAATTGGGGGGTGGGGGGCAGGCGCATATGTGAGCAGCAGGGTTATCAACTTCCAGGTTCCAGTGAGCTTTGGGATCCAAACGGGAGCAAATGTATAATTTCAGGGAGATAAATAGATCTCAGTTGCAGGCTTGATTGAAAAACATGTATACTGTATTTTGGAAACAGGCCAGTTCGTTCCCACGTTCAAATTTGAAGGAGGTCAGGCGGCCATGCCCACCTGCCACCTGCTGCTGGGCTCTGCCAAGGAAGCGTGGCTTTAGACGGCCTCTGCAGAGGGGAAAGCCAGGGGAGAGGATTGGGCTTTCCAAGCCCCTGGCCTCCGTCTTGCAGGGGCTTGTGGTGCCCGGGACCACGCGTGGAAGAGTGGCAAGCCCAGCGCTGAGAGGAGGGGAAATGGCTTCTGGGTTTCAGCCTTGCTGAGGTTGCTCCTTCGATGGGAGCAGAGAGAGACTCAACGGGGGGTTTTTCTTGAGGAAAGCCGGGGGCCAGAAAGTTGGCCAAGAACGGCTGCTCCGGTCCTGCCACGCACGCCCTCCCCATGAAGCGTTTCCTCCGTCCCAAAAGGAAGGCTGCGGTGGCAGGAAACCTCCAAGCCAGAAAGACCCGTGCTGATGGAGCAGGAGTCTCTCCCCAGGTACAGAAGACCCATCTGCCTTGGCCCCAGCCCCTCCTACCTCTCAACCCCACCCAGCACGGGGGCCTGCGCAGTTCCCGGGGCAGAGAACCTTGCATAGAACCGGAGACCGTGGTTTGGTGGAATTTGTCCCAAAAATGGTCTGTTAGAGAAATCAAGCCAGCTCTTCCCTGTTCTTTCAGGCGGCTCTGTAGCATTTTGCAGGGTTTGGTTGTTTCTGTTGGAGACAGACTGAATGGTCCGTGCGGGCGAGGTAGCTGCGCCTGGAAGGGAATGTCTTTGTAGAGCTGCAACATGCTTTCGGCTGACTAAGGAGACGCCTCGGAAATTCATTCAGAGCCACAAATTGCACGGGGTGCACTGACCGTTTCCAGGAATCCCTTGCCAAGCACGGAATTTCTGCTAGCAGCTGTTGCTGGGTAAAACGCCCCTTTTCGCCTGTTTGCTCTCCATGATGCAGTGGGCCTTCCGGTCTCAGGTATCCTTGAGGGTCTCCTTTTCGGTTAAAAAAACAACGATCGCTGATGGTGGCCAAGAGAAGCCCCAAGTCTTGATCCACGGATGGATGGCTCTGCACGGCTCCCTTGAGCGTTCGATGAGTCATGGCAGGGCTGGGCGGGCAAAGCCCCTCTTGAGTGGGCTGTGGGGGGAGGAGAGCCTGGGACTCTCCGCTCCCCCAAGCCCTGGACCCAGCCCCCTTCCTCCCGTGACGGGCAGTGCTCGTTGGCCCCCGTGCAAGCTCTGATGAGGAGTACAGGCAGTCCTTGGCTTACAACAGTTCACTTAGGGACTGTTTGAAGTTACAACAGCACTAAGAAAAGGGACATGGCCACTTCTCACTTCGCATCCCCTCAGTCAGGTGCTCAAGATTCAGACGCTTAGCAACTGGTTCATATTTATGACGGGTGCACTGTCCCAAGGTCACGTGATCCCCTTTTGCGACCTTCTGACCAGCAAGGTCAGTGGGGAAGCCAGATTCGCTTAACAACCGTGTGACTGACTTAACAGCTGCAGTGATTCACTTAATAACTGTCGCAAGAAAGGTTGTAAAATGGGGCAAACCTCACTTAACTGTCTCACTTACCAGTAGAAATGTTGGGCTCAGTTGTGGTCGTAAGTCAAGGACTCCCTGTATCCCTGTCCAGAATTTGGGCCTTGTTCGGCCAAGGCTGACCAGCTCTTTCCCCAGCTGCCTGCCTTGGTTTCCTTTTCCTGCTGGGCAGGGGTTCACCTCCACTTGCCAGCCACAGCTGGCCTCTTGGAAGCCTGGGCTTGCTCTTTTCAGCTGCCTCGGGGGCGTCTGAACTGGGTGTGAGACTTCTGGCCCGTGGAATGCTCCATCGTGGAGCTCTGCATGTGTGGGCTGTGGCTCAAGAGCAGCTCTTGACCGTTGGGGACTCATCCAGCCCACACATGCTGAAGAGGGAGGGACACCTTTTTATCTCTGCAAAAAGGGTGATTAAGCCTTCGGTTATTTTCCCTGGCCTCTATTTCTGGGAGGAGCAGCCACCTCTGCCCTTCTAGAGCAGGGGGTCTCCAGACTGGGCTACTCGAGGGCTTGAAGTCCCAGCTGTGCCGGCTGAGGAATTCTGGGAGCTGGTCCACAAGCCTTAACGTGGCCCAGGTTGGAGACCCCAACTTTAACACTTTATTAGAACAAACTAACATCCTGGGGATGAGATGAGCCTTTCTCACCACCTGGGGCCTGGGGGTCTGTAATGATTTGCTTAGGGAAGCATTTGAGGGGGCCCTGCCCCATCTGAGACGGAGAGACAGGCGGAAAGGGCTGACTTGGCAGATTCTTCCTTCTGAAATGCTTTAGAAACTGCAAAGATCTGATCCATTTTCGATCAGGAGCATCTTGCTTGCTTACTTGGCTGCAGAGCCGGGAAGACGAAGACGACCTCCTCGCTTAGCTTGCCTGGACTTCCCAGGCTGAGGAGCTTGGTTTTTGCTGGCTGAAAACCGGGGAGTCTCTGGGTGACCTGGTGGCAGGGGTGGGTGGGTGGGGAGGTTGGTGTAAGGCTGCCTTTCAGTCATTGCCTTCCAAATCCAGCATCCCTGTCATTCATCATTATCAGCATTCATATATATTTTAAGAAGTGTCTCAGTGTGGATGGCGAAAGCTCTGTGACGCTCCCGTTTCTCCTTCTCCTCCTCCCGTGTTCTCCCCGCCATGCCTGCTGCCATGTGCTGCTTCTGCCAAAGCTGAAATTGTCTCGGTCCGTTGTCAAGCATCCATCAAGCATCTTATTTTTTTTTTTATGTTGCTTACCTTATTTTCTTTTCTGTTTGTGTATCCTTCCCTCCCCACCTGCCTGCTCCATGTTCCCTTCCATGCGGGTAAGACCATCGTGCGCGGAAACAAAGCTGCCAAGGACGGTTCCCTGGCCTGGCTGCTAGATGAGTTTGAGAACATGTCGGTGTCGCGCTCCAACTCGCTGCGCAGGGACAGCCCTCCTTTCCCGGCCCGGCACGACCAGTTTTACCAGGAGAACGGCCTGGGAGAGGCGGTGGGCAGGCCCCGCCACCACCAGCCCCCCCACCACCACCACCACCCTCCCCACACGGAGGAGGACGGCGGGGGCAGCAAGAGCAGAGACCCCAAGGAGCGGAACCGCCACGGGCCCAAGAACGATGTGGAACGGGGCTGGGATGACAGGACTGGCGCGCCACACTCCCGTGGACACGAGCCTCACCACAAGCCGCACCAGCAGTCTGGCCACCCCCGGCCTCCTGAGCACCCGAAGCCCTTGCCGGAACACGGTCACCGAGTGCCTGAGCGGGACAGGAAGAGGGAGCCCCCCGCCGAGCGCGTGGTCAAGAGAGAGCGGACGGAGGGGCCTGACAAGAGACCCAAGTCCACCTACACTGGCCAAGCCAGCCCACAGTCTCCCCGGGAAAAGCGGCCCCTCTCTGGGCCCAATATCCGGACCCCAAATATCCCCATCTCGGAGGGGGTGATGAAGACCGCTCAGCAGACGGGACGGCCTTTTAACACCTACCCACGAGCAGACACCGATCTTGGCCGTGGCACTCAGGTAAAACCTCTCAGGGCATCTCGGAACTTAGGGCCCTTGTGGGTCTGGCCAGCCTGGATCGATCCGCTGGAGATGCCGTTCTCATGACGTCTGAACTGGTCCGCCCTAAGAAAGGCCACGTTTCACCTCTTTTAAGCCACCTTCTCAGCGTAGCCTAGCTGCTTGACCAGGTGATGAGCTCCGAGCACCTTCTCTGCATCAGGAGAACACCTGGTGGCAAGAGCAGAGCCCGCTCCTCCTTCATGCTCTGTTCTGCACCTCTCCTGGGTCCCCTTCTCTCCTTCCTCTGCTCAGTAGTTCTCCCTCGCCTTCCGGCCTCCCATCAACCGCAGCCGGTGTCTTCCCTCCTGCCTGCCTCCTGCCTTTCCTGGCCACTCTCCTTCCTTGCTTCCACTAACCGGAATTCCTCCTGTGTCGTCCATCTTGCCATCTGCTCTCTGCTTGGTCTCCTCTTCTGTACATGCGAATAACCGTCTGCTGCCACTTTCTTTCTTCTCCTGGGTAGCAACTTCTCTGTCTGTATTCGTAGAAATTCTGCAGCTGCGCAACGACCTCCCGTGTTCCTGTGGAACCCATCAACCTGCTTTGCCTTCTGCCTCTGCCACCCAACTCTTTCCTCTGCTTTCTCTTACAAGAGGACCAGAAATTAGATGTTGCTCCACGAGCCTCTCTCTCTCTCTCTCTCTCTGTCCCAGGGAGGACGCCTTCTGCAGGAAGCGGAGAGTGATGAGCGCAGGGACCTAATTCGGCCCTTGCTGTGGCTCGTCCTTTGGACCCTCAGCTTAGCTAAGTGGACTCCCCAAGGCCACTGCTCCCGTCTTTCACACCTGAGGTGAAAAGGAGGCTTTACAAGCAGGCTCTTTAGGAGACTCTGCCTGACCCCGAGGGAAGGAGAAGGCTGGGGGAGGGGTGGGGGAGCTGGTCTATCCCCAAAACCCTTTATGGCCATCAGAAGGGAAGGCGCAGATGACCCTCGATCGCAGGGGTCACCAACTGTGATGACTTTACTCAATTCCCAGAATTCTGGGAGTTGAAGTCCACAAGTCATAAAGTTGCCACGGTTGGAGACCCCTGCTAGTCAGCCTGCCCAAGGACGGCACCTGTCCTTTGCAAATGAGCAGGACCAAAAGAAACACCCTCATGTCAAGAGGTTTGTCCTGGGTTCCTTCTGCGTGAGGAGGAAAGGGCTGGAAGGCTCCGGGGTCTTTTGCTTCTTCAAGTGTTGGCGGGATCCCTCTGTCTGCCAGGATAAAGAAGGATCCTTTGCCCAGTGAGGGCTCTGCTTTTCGCGCTTGCAGTCAGGATGGCTTTTCCTTCTCTTTCTAGGCAGAACATCGGCCCGGAAAAGCCCCAGAAGCAGCCCCCAACGGCCCCACGAGTGGAAACAGCGGCCCCTCCAGGCCCCCCCCCTTCGGGCCCAGCCAGATCCAGAAACCTGGAGCCATCCCCTCTGGGACTCTCCCAGCACGCTTCAGACCCCCACTTGACCCACGTGCCATCGCCGCCGGCCCCCCAGCCTCCGCAGCCCCCTCCCCAGCAGCCTCTGGCCCCCACTCCTCCGGCCCCTCAGCAGTCCTGCTCCCCCCAGCGGGAGCCCCAGCGGGTCTCCCACGAACAGTTCCGAGCTGCCTTGCAGATGGTGGTCGACCCCGGAGACCCCCGGACCTACCTGGACAACTTCATCAAGATCGGTGAGGGCTCCACGGGCATCGTCTGCATCGCCACCGTCAAGAGCTCCGGGAAGCTGGTGGCAGTCAAGAAGATGGACCTGCGCAAGCAGCAGAGGCGGGAGCTGCTCTTCAACGAGGTGGGTTGGAGTGACCCGAAGGCACTTTTGCAAGAGGCAGCTGGACCTTCCGCGTTTCTTCCCTTGAAGACCTTTCGCTTCTCATCCAAGAAGCTTCTTCGGTTCTGACTGAATGGTGAGGGGAACCATTAAGCCAAACATGGTGGAAACCCCACCATTCAGTCAGAACGGAAGAAGCTTCTTGGATGAAAAGCGAATGGTCTTCAAAGAAAAAAACAAAGGTACTTTTTGAAAAAGCAGCTTTGGGACAACCATGACCTGGATGGCAGAGAATCTCCAAAGACACGGATCCAGTTGGATTAAATACTTTATTTGGTCACGTGTGGTTAGAGTCACAAGGCATTGGTCTCCAGTGCAGAAGCTCTGAGTGTATATGCAAAGCAACAGAGTAATAATAATTATAATAATGAAACCAATAAGAGTGGGGAGTAGAGAAGATGGGATGGATAATAATAATAATAATAATAATAATAATAATAATAATAATAATAATAATAATAATAATAATAATACAGCCATACTATGTGAGTAAATATCCTTAGAGATAAGACAACACTGTGAGGATTAGGTGTTCAGCAGAGGGACGGCAGGAGGGGGAAAACCGTCCCTGTGTCTAGTTGTTTGGGCCTGTGGTGCCCTATAGCAGCGTCCTGAGGGGAGGAATGAAAACAGTTGATGTGAAGGAGGTGAAGGCTCCACCGAGATCTTCTCGGCCCTCTTTCTGTCCCCGTGCAGTATACAGAATGTCTTTGTGCTTCACAGACTCTGTGCCCATTCTAGGCTGCAGCAGGGGAGTTTAGGTGACACGTCTCACCTGCAGCAGCCGCCCCTTTGAGGCACTGCATCCCCCTCCCCAGCCCCCCCCCCCCTGGGAATGTGATATCTTTTTCCTTCCCTTTTCTAACCCGCCTTTCTCTCCCCCCCCCCCCCAGGTGGTGATCATGAGGGACTACCAACATGAGAACGTGGTGGAGATGTACAACAGCTACTTGGTGGGCGATGAGCTCTGGGTTGTGATGGAGTTCCTGGAGGGGGGCGCTTTGACTGACATCGTCACCCACACCAGGTAAGAGGGGCAGAAAGAGGGATGGGCTGCTCCCCTCCCTCAGGAGAGATGAGCCCCTCCGGGCTGTTTGTGTCTGCATGCGCGTACTACCAGACCCTGCTAGGCGGCCACTCTGAGAATCGGCCGCTTCCTTCCAGGCCAAGAACCAGATCAGAAGGATAAGTGCCTGCTAATATTCTTCTAATACAGGTAGGTAGTCCTCGACTTACAACAGTTCCTTTAGTGATTGTCCAAAGTTACAATGGCACTGAAAAAAGTGCCTTATGACCATTTTTCAAAGTTATGACATTTGCAGCATCCCCATGATCCCCAAAAGGCAGCTTGGTTCCTACTTATGACGGTCGCAGTGTCCCGGGGTCATGTGATCTTCTTTTGTGACCTCCTGACAAGCAAAGCCAATGGGAAGCCAGATTCACTTAGTAACAGTCTTAGTAACTTAACAACTGCAGTGATTTAACAACTTGTGCAAGAAAGAGTGTAAAATGGGGCAGGACTCACTTAACAACTGTCTCACTTAGCAACAGAAAACTTGAGCTCAATTGTGGTCATAAGTCGAGGACTACCTGTATATTAATCAGTATTCAACAGGGGGAATAATATGTGTATATACTGTTGCTATTTTAATGCACCTTCATAAATGTCTTGTTTTGTGTTTTTTCTTGGTTTCTTTAAAAAACATTTTTGGCGTTTTGTAGTTTAAATTTTTCTGAATAAAATAAAAATAGAAAAAAAGACCCCAAAGGATCAGTGCCCTTTTTTCTTCTTGCTTGAAGGATGAACGAAGAGCAGATCGCCGCCGTCTGCCTCTCCGTGCTGAAGGCCCTTTCCGTGCTCCACGCTCAGGGCGTCATCCACAGGGACATCAAGAGCGACTCCATCCTGCTCACCCATGACGGACGGGTGAGTTGCCGGCAAGCCCTCCCTCTTCCCCCTCCCTTGCTTCTTCTCCCCAAACTGCACGGCCTTTTAGCAGCACAAATTCCCTGAAAGGTGCATGCAAGTCCTAGGAAGAAAATCCCGGGGCCTCTAGCTGCTCCGTAGTCCTTGGATAGTCCTTGAGAATTCTTTAGAACAGGGGTCTCCAACCTTGGTCACTTTAAGACCTCTGGACTTCAACTCGGAAGGACCCGGTTTGTGGGGCCAATAAGCTGACTTTGTATAAAATAGAACACTACTTGGGGGAGGAGGGGCAAAAAAGCCCTACCGAGCAGGTATATACAAAAGTATGAAGGCTATTGCTTAATGCATTGTAAGCCGCTGAGTCTCCGGAAAAGGGCGGCATATAAATCGAACCAATAAATAAATAAAATAAATAAATAAACTCCCTGAATTCCCCAGCCATCAAACAGGATTTCTGCCAGCATTGGGAAGATAGGAATTATGTGGCCTCTGCATTTGTGCACAGATCGGCCCGGTGCCTGTTGGAAACCAAAAGTCCAAGCCGGGGTGTGTGTGTGTGTGTGTCTACAGGGTACAGATATTTGAGGCTCAGGAATCAAAATAAAGCTAAAGAAACGGCTGCCAAAGGTCAAAAGGCTGAAGCCGCATCTTGAGGAGGAGGAATGGCTGGTCTCCTCTTGAAGAAACCCCCCTGCTTTATCCAGGCCTGGGAAATAATCCTTACTGCTTTCTCCCTGGGGAGGAGAGGAGAGGAAAAAGGGAAGGGAAGGGAAGGTGCCTTGGAGATTGTCCACAGCCGGCCTGTGTGGGTGGAATTCACTCCATTTGGGTAGAATTTGCCATTTGTTGTCCTTGACTTACAGCAGCTCATTTAGAGACCATTCAAAGTTACAGGGGCATTGAAAAATTGATTTATGACCGTTTCTCACACTTGCAACCATTGATCATGTGATCAAAATTGACAAAGTCAATGGGGACTCCGGAGTCATCTAACAACTGTGTTACTAAGTTAACAACTGTAAGGATTCAATTACCCCCTGGGGCAAGAAAGGTAGTAAAATGGGGCTAAACTCATTTAGCAACTGTCTCACTTAACAGAAAATTTTGAGCTCTTGTGGTCGTAAGTCGAGGATTACCTGTATGATGGCTTTTTTGTTTTTCCTGTCTCGATTTTTAAATTAAATATGTAAGAAATGGAGCTGAGGAGATGGGGGGGGGGGAGTTTCTGAAGCTGTGGGAGTCAGCCATTCAATGGCTCTGCTGAGACCCCACCCTCACGGCTGCCTCGCTCTGCCTTCCCTTCAGGTCAAACTCTCCGACTTTGGATTCTGTGCGCAAGTGAACAAGGAGGTGCCGAGGCGCAAGTCGCTGGTGGGGACCCCGTACTGGATGGCCCCGGAGCTCATCTCTCGGTTGCCCTACGGGCCAGAGGTGAGTAGGGTGGAAGACCCCACAGAGGCCCCCTCCTCTCTGGGAGGCTTTTGCACCCATCAGTTGTCTGTCTGTCTGTCTGTCTGTCTGTGCAGGTGTGCATGCAAAGTAGCTAAGCTAGGCGTGGCTTAGGTGTCCATTTCTGGAGGAGAATCCCAGATTCTGCCGGGTTTCCCCAGAAAATCTTAGCAGCCAGAGCCCCCAGTGTTTCTCTCTCAAATCCTAACGCTTGAGATAAATTGAATGTTTCTGGATGGCTGCCCTCCTGCTGACTCCCACCTCCCTGTAGCTTTGCCACAATGCCGTCCTTTGGTCAGTGGGGTGTGGATGAAATGGACTTTCAGACAAGAGGCACCATTTTTTTAAAAATTCTGCCTCAGTTGCTCAACCTGCACACTGTACAATCCATCTGGAAAAGAAAATGATTGCTGCTTGAGAGAGAATAGAGCCCCCTCCCTCCCTCCCTCCCTCAGCTCTGCCAGGACAATCCAGTTTCTAAGATGGTTTCAAGGAAAAGAGGAAATAGCCAGACCGGAGGGCTTCAGCTGCTGGTCCTCCCTGAAACCTCCGCCCTGCTACCGCCATGCCTCCCAATGGCCCTTCTGTCGTTGCAGGTGGACATCTGGTCCCTGGGCGTGATGGTGATAGAGATGGTGGACGGGGAGCCTCCCTATTTCAATGAGCCCCCCTTGAAGGCCATGAAGATGATCCGAGACAACCTGCCCCCCAAACTGAAAAACGTGCACAAGGTAAGATCCTCTCCGGTTCTCTGAACAAGAGGATGGCTTCTAGAAGGTTCCCTTCCCCCCCTCCCGCCCAGATTGCCATGTCCTGCCGTTTGCGACTCGGGGGCATCACGCATTATCAGCTGCCAGCTGTTGGTGGTAATATAATTGCCCTTCATCATTGATGGCATCAGCCTGATCAGACTGGCCTCTCCCCCTCTTGGCTGTGGCCCTCCTGCTCACCGAGATCAGATCCACCTTCCGGTTCAGGGGTGGGCGTCTTTGGCGACTTTACGCCTGGGGGCTTTAACTCCCAGAATTCCAGAGCCAGCCATAGTTGCCGACCCCTGTGCCAGTCAGTTTCTAGGTCAGGGCCTGATATGAGACCACCCAATTCATGGCTTCTTTGGCCCAGGATGGGCAGAGAAAGGGGGTCAGTCTGGTGTTGGGGAAGGGGCTTCCTTGAGGCTCCCCAAGGCCCCCCTCAGCTGCTCACCTCCCTCCCTCCTCCTTCCAGCCATGGCTCATGCCTCTCTGCTCTTTCTCCCCGGCAGGTCTCTCCTTCCTTGAAGGGCTTCCTGGACCGCTTGCTGGTCAGAGACCCAGTCCAAAGAGCCACGGCCAACGAGCTCCTGAAGCACCCCTTCGTGGGCAAAGCCGGGGCCCCCTCCTGCATCGTGCCCCTGATGCGGCAAAACCGGATGAGGTGAACCAGCCGGACTCCTTCGTGAAGAGAGAAGAGGGTGGGGAAAGAGCCATCATCCCCAGCCAGTCCCACCAAGCAGTGGAGACCTGCGCGCAAGGAGGGGGCTTTGGGACCCCCACCAATCCCTGCTTCCTGGGGGAGGCTCCCCAGTTGGTGTGGGCAGGAGGAGTTCAGCCAGCAGTCGGGACCCTCCCTCCCTCAAGGACTCCTCTTGGCCATCTGATGACGTGGCCCCCAAAATGGACGCTTGGACCCATCTCTAGCAGAGCTGCTCTGCATCACCATATTGTACTACTGAATTGAGGAGGGGCTTTGTCTGGGGGTGGGCTGGGGGTGAAAAAAGATGACAACGTTTCTCTTGTTGGTCTCCTAAATCCTGGGCAGCCGGTTCTGGCAGGGGAAGGGGCCAGATCATTGGCTCTTCGGCATTGTAGAAGGAAATGTTTTCTTCCCAGAGAAAGGGGGGTGCTGGCCAGAGGCACCCTGCGGGGAGAGGGGAGGGGAAGATTCCCCCCTCCCGCTGAAGCCCAGAAGCCCCTCCCCCTCCTGCAGAGAGGCGGGAGAGCAGAGCCACCCGCCAGGGCCCCTGTTGGGTCACCAGAGGCAGGAAACCCACTTGTGCCCGGATGCTGTTCCTTGCCGTGAAGGAAGGCGCTGCAGTAGTTTAGGGGGTCCCGAATCTCAGGTGGGGAGAGGTGGCTCCAGGGGACAGTTGAAAGTCGGGGGCTCCTTGTTGGTGCCAGTGGTGGCGGCGGGTCCAGACAGGGCCATGCTTCAGAGCCAGGCTTGTCATTGGCACCGAGAGGCTCAGCAGTGGGGCTGGCGCTGCAGAGTGGCACTCCTGGCACCGCAAAGGGGGCGTCTCTCAGGCTCAGGCCTGCTTTCCGGGGAGGGACAGGAAAAGAGCACCCAGTACCCAGCAAGCCCAGCCCCCTATTGGCTTCCCCATCACGTGCCAGAGGGCATAAGGCGAGAGGTGCCCCTGTTCCCCAAAGGCTGGCACCAGTCTTCCCCTTTTGCCCGGCTTCTTGCCCCCAAAGGCTCTGGCTGCCTGCTGCTCTCTTGCAGCCTTGTGGCAGCCCTGGCGGAACCCCCGAGGGGCTCTCTCCTCCCCACCTTGCAAGGGGAGTTCACGGGCAGACGGGCGGGATCTGAAGGGGGGAGCCGTGGCCCTTCTGCCACCTGTTCTGCCCAAAGGGGACTGGGGGGCAGTGGGCCTCTTTCCTTGTCCACTGGGAGAGGAGAAGCCTCTGGGCGGAAACGGGCCCTGCTGACCAAAAAGGGGAGCAGCATGTGCCTGTCCCTTCATCCCAGAGCTGAGCGGTTTGGGGAGGGCCGTGGCAAAAGGAAGGCAAGGGCTCGCTCTGGGCCTGGCTGAGTGGAGGAAGGCTGTCCTCTTGGGCCCAGAAAGTCCGGGGGGGGGGGCTCTTTGGGGCCTCCAGGCACCTCAAGGGTTCCTTGCTGGGAGCCTGGGCGGTGGGGTTGCCTGGCCATGTTTGGAGGGGGGGAAGAGGGCTGCTGCTGCCCCTCCCACCACCGCTGTCCCTTGAATGCTGGGAACAGCCTGGGCTTCCCTGCGTGCAGACAGTATTGGGGAAGGGGTCTGCTTCTCAGTAGCTGCTTGGGGGTTTCCTGCCTGCCTGGATTTAGAGTCCCACGGGTGCCTCTCCCGCACCCTCTTTGCGGTGTGGGTCCTTTGAGGCGAATGTCCCCAAAGGTCCTTCTTCCCTCGGCTCAGATGCCCAGGATTGGGTCCCGCAGGTGCAGCCTTTGCCCTGCTGCCCTTCAGAACCCAACCCCCGCCCCCCGCCCCCCCAGCACTCCCCAGTCCCCTCTCTTGCCATCTTTTTACAAAGCTCACCGCAGGCTCCCCCCCCGACTGAGGGCGGCCCCCCCCCCCCCCCCGGAAGAGATTGCCCTTTGCGTGTGTGGGGCGGGCGTGCGTGCCACTTCTCCAGCCAGTGCACCTCTGGAGCCAGCTGGCGTGGTTAGAAAGGCTCCTCTGGGCCCTCAGGGTGGGCTGCCCAGCCAGCCCCTCTCTGCCTGCCTCACCTGCTTCTGGGTCTCTTCCTCTCTCCCCTCCATCCTCTGGCCGACTCCCAGCCCAGCTTTTCTGGCAGTGGGGCTCCAATCAGCCCCCAGGGAGTTGAAGGGGGTTAAATGGGTCTTTGGTGCTAGCATGCCTGACTTAAAGACAACCCAGAAGCATTATCTAGGATCCCCCCCCCATCTCCAGGGGGGGGGTCAGCCTGAGCCGGCCTCTTCACATCTTTCCCAGTATTCTCCCCCTGCCTGGGAGGGGGGGAGGAGGGGGGGTCTCAGCTACCCCCCTTTCACGCCAACTGCTCCCCTCCCTCTGCTTGGGAGAGCTGGTTGCTGCCTTTTCTTCAGGAATCCTTTTTTTATCTCCTTTCCTTTTGAAGACCCTCGACCCTCAAGGATGATTTCACTTTCCCTGCAGGGAGAAAGACTAAAATCTCAGTTGAAGCTGCCAAGCCAGGGAGGGGGGATTCCTGGGGTGATCATCCTCCACCCCCTCCTGCTTCCACAACACTACATTTCCCCTTCATTTTCTGAAATAAAGGACTGGAATTTTAAAGCGGAGGCTGGGAGGGGGGACCCAGCTCCGAAGGCCCCCTCCCCTCCCCATCTCCTGGTTGCTTGAAGAATTTTATAACTGGAGGCCTCGACCAGAAATGTTTTTCCCTCTCTACAAGAATGACTACTGATTCATTTTGTGGGGTTTTGTTACTTTTTTAAAAAGAAATTATTTATATTGGGTTTTATTTTCTTTTTTTCTCCCCCTTTGGTAACTCAACGGTATTTGTGTTGAAATGATTTTTTTTAATTGCTTTGGAAAAAAACCTGCTGTGTTCCATTCTAGTAAGTTTAGCCATGAATGGTCTTGTATAAAAAGTCTGGATTTTGTGTCAAAGTGTGGTGGCTGTCAGCCTTCTTCCCCCCCCCCCCCAAATACAGCACTACATTTGGGCAAGATGGTCAACAGTAACCTTTAATAGTTAAAGAAGAACAGTACGCGATTTAACCGCGTTGGAAGGGACCTTGGAGGACATTGTCCAACCCCAGGAGACGTATACTAGGGATTCGAACCGCCAACCTTCTGATGGACAAGCTCAGCATCTTAGGCACTGAGCCACCTATGGAGCCACCAGAAAAAGCTACAGAAGAAGCAAAATCACAGTTTCTCTCTTCTTTGAGGGAATTGGAGGGCATCGTCCAATGGGCCTCTTGACCAGCCCTGCACTGCCTGGCCTGAGCAAGCCAACCTCTGGTTCAGTGTCCCCACAAACCGAGAAGACCGGTGCTGGGTCCTGGCTACGCATGGTGACCGCAGAGGAGCCCCAGGGGCCGAAGGCTGCCGTATTTGCAGGCTGCCCGTCCCTAATTCTCCACTTCTTCCCATGTTAAGGTGCTGGAGAGAACCGAGGGGCTCCTCGACCCTCATCAGAAGGGCTACCTGTGGGCTCACCTGATCAAATGGGCAGCGGCTGCTCTTACTGATCTGGGCACAGTTTCCATTCGCGTGAACCTGCCTAAGGATCCCTGCGACGTTCTCAGCCAGGAAGAGTGACCTGCGTAAACCACCGTTCTTCCATCGGAGCCTCTGTTCCTGCCATGCCAGGGTCCAGCTGCATGGACAGAATTCTGCCAACCTGGGAGGTTCCATTTCATCGTCCACCGTGTCATCCCAGAAAACCAGTTTAACCATAAACCACAGTGGGATTAACCCTTTGGAAATCCTCCTTTAGCAGAAGCCCGAAAGGAGACGGGCAATGGGCAAGATTGGCACTGGTAGCTCGTCCCAGCTGACAACTTCACTCCAGCCCCGGCCAGGAGGGTGAGGCTGGCCGAGAGACACCGGAGCCCACTGGACAGCACCCTCCATGCCACCGGACAAAGTGCTGCTGGGGATGGGGGTTGCATGGTGCCCAGCTGCCAGTCTTGGCCAGTCTACTTCACCAGGCTGTTGTAGTGGGGAGGAGGGGTTGCCCCTTAGCTCTTGAATAGACAGGTACTGAAAAAACCTGAATAATGAACATCTGATTCTAACTAAATGCAGTTCAGGTAAAGTTTGGAGGAAAGAATCCAACAAGTTCTTAAAATGAAAGGGGGCTGCATTGCCTCAGCTGGCACCTGCCAGATGTTCTTGGGCAGCTAGCTCCAAGTTGGAAGGGCTCCCAAATGTCTCCCCCTAGATGAAGGATAAATCGCCCCAAAACCAAAGTCCATCCTGAAGCCGCTGCTCCGGCCTGGGTCCTGAGGAAATGGCCCCTGCTGACCCACCACTGCCCCCACTGCTCTTTGAGGGGTAAGTGATGGGGTAAGTTTTGGCCTTCAGCCAAAATGCAATTGTAATAAATTGCATTGATTTTGGGAAGCTACTTCTGTCTTGGTGACCTTGCCTTCCCTGAACCTGCAGGGGCATTCTGCATTCGTCCTGGATCCGGTTCGGCCCTTTTTGTGTTCAACAAACCCTCGGTGCGAGTTCTCCTGCACGAAGCCCCTTTGATGAAGCATCTCTGGGCAAGCCACCGAGAGAGGCACCTTCCAGGGCAGGGAGATTATCCCAGCCTGCCGGGGCTGAATTCAGGAATTCCCCCGGGGGAAGGGAGCTGCTCCGGGCGCTTTGTCGTTGCCTCTTGTTGGGCCTGCCAGCTTTGAGGTGGAGGAGGAACACTGTAATTTTCCTAATTAATTGGCAATCATAATCCTTACGTGTTTGCAAAGTCATTCTGCGTCTCTTAGGCCTCCCCTGTCACTATTAATTAGCGTGGCGCTTTCTTGTTGATTTCCTCTGGGACGAAGAGAAAATGGCACTCGCTCTAATCCCCCTTTTCTTCGAGAGCAAAGGTCCTTGGTGGTTTCCTACGCAAAAGGAACGCCAGTTGAATGCAGAGGGGCTTCCTCTCACTGAAGAAAGGGCCCCACCCTTCCTGCTATTGTGCACAGCCAGCCAGTCTAGCCAGGGGGTCATCGGGACCTCCCCCTCTCATTTCAAATGGGGGGACAAGAGAGACCCTCTCATTCCAGGGTCTGCCTTTCTCACTGCTCCAGGCGTGAAGGCTCGGCAGACACCAGCATGGCATCCGAGCCGGGCCACTTGGAAAGCTGCTGAAGCTTCAACTGCAGGCATATATCACCAGTGCATTGATAATGTTATCTTGTAGGGTAATGAAACATCTGCAAGTAAACAACGGAACTCAGAGAACACCTAAGTAGGGTTAGTTCAACGGGGTGCCTTTTGTTTGGACTACCTCACAAGTCTGATAGCATGGTTCCAGGTGGGTGGTTGCAAGACTGGGGGAGACGGGTTCTTTCCCTGGCGGGGGAGCCTAAGGGGTGGATCACTTTAACCGCCCCCCCCCCACTCAAGGATCAATCTTCTTCATGCTGTTTAAAAGTGGAGGCAAAAGATTGATTTGCATGGTGATCGTATTTGAAAGGCCCCATATTCTGTGCGAAGTTCCAGGCAGAAAGAGGGCTGGGTTCCATTGGACCCATTCAGGCAGACACATACCGCCCATCCACGCACAGCTCTTCCCACTACCTGCATCCCCATTAGCTGCTCACTGAGATCAGACGGAGCTGTGGGGCTGGCGGTTCAGCCTAGGGCGGCCAGCAGGCTCACCCCCTTAAGCCACAACTCGGCTGATGTGGTTCCTGCAGCATGTGGTAGAAAAACAGCAGCCGACTTGTGAACTCGCCATATAACCAGCCACTGTGTCCGATACACCTGGTCTTTAGTAAATGGGTTGAGAATTGCAATCCCTCCCCCAAATTTATGGCTTTTTCCTGTGCAAGGGCAGGGGTGTTTTAGTGCTCATGGGGGCAGCTGCAATGGATGTATTTGGTGGCCCCCCACTTTGGTTAAGCTGCCTGAGATTACAGAGCAAAGAAGCTTGAGGAACCCTCCCTACCCTCGGGTCTCTACAGCCTTTTCTCTCCCCCCACAAAAATTTGGAGAAAAGGGCCACTGAACCCCGTTTCTTGGTGGGCACAGCTGCATTCTTACCCATGGCTGCCCAAAGCCCTGTCCAGCAAAAATGGGGGGCCCCCAAAATGAGACTGAACACCCCCCCCAACATCTGCTGACCTTGAATCGCAAAAAGAGCCAACACATTTTTAAGAGTCACGTTGCTTTGCTTTTAATGAGGTTTCAGAGGCGCCACCATAAAGGCTGAGCCGGGACGGAAGGGCCGTCTGCTCCAAGAGGGTCTGGGGAAGAGCGCGGCCTTTGGAGCCGGGAGGGAGGAGAACAAAGGGCTGCGTGGAAGATCTTAAGGCGGCCGCTGGAACAAATCTTTCCCGCAAGGTGACAAGCCTGCCTCGCTCAAAGGGGAGGAAGGAGAAGCTCCTGGGCCAATCAAAGGCCCTCCTCAGTGTGCTGTTTCGGGGGCCGTGGGAGAAAAAGTTTGCTTTTTGGTTCCGTTTTTCTGCTTATTTGGATGCTCAGTTCACAGGAGGGCCGGGCTGGTTCAGGGCTGCCCGTTCTTCTGCCTCTCGGTGGGTTGCCAAGATCTTCAGCTGAGCTGCTGCTGCTGCTGTTGCTATGAGAGGCGGGCAGAAGAGAAGATTTGGGGAGATGGCGTCCGCACATTTTGGACCTTCAGCTGCGGGGGCTCTGGGGGTCACTTGAGAGAGGATGGGCAGGATGGTGGCAGCTCCCTTCTTGGCTCACGCCAGGCCGACTCAGTTGCACTTGCAGTAGTAAGCGGAGATTGAGTTGTCCCAGTCGCCAAAGAGGCCTCTCTTGAACTCCTGCAGGCGTGGGTAGGCTCCGGCTTTGAATTTCCGCGTGTTGCCACCCTTGCCCTTCTTGTACCAGACGGTCAGCTCGCACCGTTGGCCCACCACCAGCGAGGAGACCTTGTTGTTGAAAGCCGTGGGCATGTACGGTTGGTCTTCACCCGCCAAGACCATCAGGAGGCTCCCACCGCAGCAGAGGTCGTAGTATGGACTGTCATCCGTGTACATCTGGGAACAGACCTTGGTGCCATTGGGGTGCGGGTTCTTGAGCTCGGTGGGGGCTGGGCACTGGGCCTGGCCGGTGGTGAAGAGCAGTGGGAGAAGAAGGAGGGTGCTGAGCAAAGCCTTCATCCTGGCCAGAGTGTCCAGTCCTTGGGCCAGAGGGCGGCTTTATAGAGCTGCACCCCTCAGGGCATTGTGGGCGCAAGGTCAGCCCATGGAACATGGGCCCAGCTCCAAGGTCGCAGCAGGGAAGATGCCAGCTGGGTGCCCAGCTTCCAAGGCAGCCTCGGTGGCTCAGGGAGATATGCCAGGTGCCAAGGGGTATCTCATGCCAATTTGGCATGCTTGCTTTGCAGCCTCTCATGGGCCCTTCTGAGAGGCCAAACAGATTTACCGATGCTGGCCTCCCTGGCGGGGGGTCCAAGGGTCCCTGTGCAGCTGGACCCTTCCTCCTTTTGTGATCCGGATTAGGGCCGTTGGCTGCCCTCTCCTTGCCAAGCTGGCAGGAGGGAAGAACTTGGGTCTCTTCCAGTGACCAACCTTCTCTTCCCAGCTGGGAACTTCCTCCCCTTCTCTCAGCTGCTGACTCTCCCAGGGCCCAGCTGCGGCTTTCCCCTGGCAGGCAGGGGGTCCCACCACCCTCAGCATCCCCCACATCCCATTTGAGACTCATGGGGGAGGAGGGAGCTGTCATTTGCAACCCAGATCCTCGGGGGCTTCTTCTGCAACTAGTCAGGCTGCCCTCCGCATGCTGTGGCTTGCAGAGAAGTGGGTGGGTGGGCTTGCCTGGCTAAGTTTGCAGGCTCGGCGCCCCAGTGGCCGGTCTCTCTGCTCCACAGGCACCCAAGAAGGGGCCCCTTTGGAAAGCAGCTCCAGCGGGGAAGCCGCGCTTTGCCTGCGTTCGCCTCCAACCCCCTCCTCTCCCCAGGCGTCTCGGGTGGGGCTTTCTCGCCAGGGGCTTGGCTCCCACTCTGACTTGGGGCCGGGCTGCCTTTCCACGCGTGCGGAGCGGTGAAGGGAGCCGGGTCCGCTCGGGGGCTTTGGGCAGCACCCAATGGGGCTCTGGCCAGGGATGATGGGCGCTGTAGTCCGAAGCAGCGCGCCAGAAGGGAAGGCCACCGGGTGGGAGCCACCTTCTTCTTGGGGCAAAGTCCGGAAGGGCGGGGCCACGCGAGGCTGGGGAAGAAAAGCCACTAAGGGCAGAAAAAGCCGAAACCCACCGACCCAAAAAAAGCAAATTAACCGAATACTCGGAACGGTCAGGGACGAGGAGGCGGGGCCGGGCTGCCGCTTCGCCCCGCCTCTCTTCATGGTGATTGGCTTACGGTCGCTTTCTCGGCGAACTTTCAACGGCGCTTGCTCCGCCTTCTTTTTTGCGTCATTTTTCATCCCAGCCTCCCGCCCGCGCTTTTCTTAATATGCATGCGGGGCCCAGAATCCTTTGCGGCCACCGATTCGGGAAAATACCAGGAGAGAAGCGGATAGTTTCTCCCCAAATCGTCCCAGGAGGAGACGCGCATCTAAAACGCCGCTGAGGTGCTTCCCTTGCTTCCTCAAGCCGTTGTCTGGGCAGGCTCACTCTCACGTGAGAAAGCGTCCAGCAGGAGGGCGGCGGTGCCGGCAAAATGGCTCGGTAGCTTTGCGCAGTGGCAGTATCGTAGCCAATGAGGTTTATCCGAGGCGCGATTATTGCTAATTGAAAACTTTTCCCAATACCCCGCCTTGACGACTTGAAATATAGTCGGCAATGGCAATTTTTGACGGTCTCTACGGAGACTGATTTCCTCGGTTTGAAAGATTAGAGAAGATCGGCGCTCGAGGCCTCGTCTGCGGGTGACGACGGAGGGCTCTTCTGCTTCTCTGTATCCGTTGTTCTTCGTGTGTCCCTGTGTCGTTGTGCGTTAGGGCAACAGCTGTGAACGGCGTGACGGTTGCCGAGAGCCTAGGCTGCCATTCCGGCTCTTACTCTCCTTTTAGCCCAGCTTCCTGTAAACCCAGATTTCAGCCTCACAGGTGGGATCCTTCGTGCTCTCTGTGCTTCGTTGTTTCCTTGCAGAGGTAACATCATCAGTGTTAGGTTAATCCCCCCTCCCTTCTAGACTGACAATGTTACCTACTTTGGAAATGAAACGTCTGCAAGAAAGCCACCAAGATCGGAGAGCGCCAAGGACCCTACAGCCCTCCTCCTCCTCCTAAACCCCCCTCTTTTCTAGCATTGATGATGTTCCCTAGTTGGGTCATGAAATGTCTGCAAGAAAGCAGTCAAGCTCAGAGAGCAGCACCAAGGAGTCCCTTCGGGGAGAAGGGCGGGATATCAATTCAATTCAATTCAATTCAAATTCAAGGAGCCCACAGTTCACCATTGAGCTGCAAATATTTTCTTCTATCAATAGAAAGGAACAGCAAACATGTTTTTTAAATTTAATTTTATTTATCTAGTATATTTGTGGCCCATTTGTGGGCACAGTGGAGAAGGGCATTGGGTGAAGAAAATGTGCCCCCGTGGCTGGCCACAGGCCAGGGGCACGTGGTTACAGAAGGGGCTTCATCCCTGCCTCCTCCCTTTGGGTTGCAAACAGATGTAGAAGTTTATAAATGCTGGGCCTGCTTTGCAAGAGGGGAAGTTAATGGATTTTTTGTTTGTTTCTCGACAAGCTTCAGTTACTCTGTTGAAAGCACCTGCTCAGTAAGGTAGAGTCACAAATTACCTTTATTGCCACGAACAGAAAAACACGACAGCTTTGTGGGACTGCAAAGAATGGAAGCAACCTGCAGGAGTGCTGGAGAAAGCTTTAATGATCTCTCCCCCCCATGTTTTGTTCAGGATAACCTGGGTGATTTGCAGGATGTTTTTCCCTCTCCCGAGGACTGTCTCCCCACACACAGCATTGTGTCCAGCCTTTTCCACTGCTTTTGTTCTGCTTCAATCCTGGCTGGGTGCTTGACTACTCTTCTAGCCTTGAGCCACCATGAAGAGCAGCGGAGCGAGCAAAGCAGCAGGAAGGAAAGAAGGGCTGCTTGGATCTGCAGTCTGTGAACCGCTTGGCTGCTGTTGGGTACAAATGCTTTAAAGTCCGAAGGGTTTGGGAGCAGCTTGCAAGAGAGAAATGTCGGCTTTTGCGTGTGCAGAGCAAAAGGAAAATAGTAGGTGATGCCCTCTGGAGCTGATAACCCAGCGTTTCTCAGTCTTGGCAACTTTTAAGATGGGTGGACTTCAACTCCCAGAATTCCCCAGCCGAACCCATCTTCAAGTTCATGAGCATGCTGGCTGGGGAATTCTGGGAGCTGAAGTCCACTCATCTTCAAGCTCCCCTGGTTGAGAAACGTTGGACAGTCTATTTTTCCACCTTTCCTTTAATCTGAGTCTAAGAAGTCTCTCTGGTGCTTTCACTTCTCAGCTCGTGGTGATACTGAAAAGGAGAAAGAAGGGAAGCCGTTGAACCGAGAGCTACTGCAGCAACACAAGGACTCTTGAAACCATGCTGCCCGGCTCTCCTACCAAGTCCCCGTGGCCTTCAAAGGGCAGGTAGACCCAGGAATACTGAATTATTTATTTCCACAGGATGTGTCCCGCTATCCCCAGCCAAAAATAAATTCAGTGCAAATCCCGTAACGGGGATTTTTGTCTGACGTGAAAACAGGAAGGGTTATTTTTAAAAGACCGTCTACCACATGGGAAGCGAAGGTTTTTAAAGGAGGTTGTGCTAAATCAGATCATAGGATGGCAGAAAAAACCACCCTCTCTCTTTCTCAGGAGGAAGTTCTATTGAATACAGGCAGTCCTCGACTTACAACGGTTCATTTTGGGCACTGGTTCATAGTTATGACAGTCCCAGGGTCACGTGATCTGCTTCTGCTGCCTTCTGACAAACTCAACTGGGAAGCCAAATTCACTTAACAACTGTGGCTAGAAAAGTCATAAAACAGGACAAGTAAGTGAGGTACTTAACAAATTTCTCACTTAGTAGCATAGGCTTTGGGCTCAATTGTGGTCGTAAGTCGAGAACTGCCTGTATTTTGCATTTCTCTCTGGCTGGATCTGAGGCTGTTTCCTTTGTTGCTTCCCCTTAGGCAAGGAGACGTGTCCCCAACTCCCAAGTGGGGCTCAGAAGCCCCCCACCTTCCGCTTTCCCCCCTTTTAGCCAGCCCTGAGTGTTTTGACAGCAAATAGGGAAGACTTAATTTATTTAAACACAAAAAAGTGAAGGTGTTTAATTGAATTACATATGGGTGGGGGGTGGGGAGAGAAATTACTAATCCCATCAACACATCATTAGCTCCTGGGTGATTAATGCTGGCATGAAGTTAAAATAATTCTCGGCAGCCTTCCCTTGCAGGCAGAATTTGCAGCTGTTGGGCAGAAACGAAACCGGCTGATGAGGCCACATCCGGAGTCTTGTGGCCTGTTGGCAGAAAGCTGGCCCTTTGCCAGGAGATCCCTAGAGGGATGGAGAGCCGAGACCCACCGATGGATGCCGTGGGTGGATTGAAAGCGAGCAGTCAGGGTGCAGGAAGGAAGGAAGGAGAGAGATCTAGAGGGCAGTCAAAAAAGTCAAGATGGCGGCTTTGCCAGTTGAACCTGAAACACTCCAAGAAAGCCTCCTTTCCAGGGGCAGCAGCTGCTCCAGGCCTGGTAAGCAAGATGCCCCAGACTCCCAGCATTCCCCAGCCAGTTTCCTCCCATTGCTTAGTGGGGCTGATGGGAGCTGTAGTACTAACCCAGTCAAGGAGCAGCAGGAGGGAGGCTGTTTGGAGCCGGTTTTTCGTAGCCGAGAGGAAGGGGTTCTCCAATCTTGGAGGGGGCCCTGGGCTCGGCCTGGCCTGGCCTTGTCGGCAAGAATTAAGACTGGGGAGGGGGGCTTGCTGGGGCCAGCCTGACCTTATAAGCTCCACATCTGGTCTGCACACCAGACCCAGCCCAAAGAGGGTTTGGTTTTGGCTTCGCAGGTTGTGGGGACAAAATCTTACGCTCTGCTTTGGTATAGTTTCCAAATCCAACTGGCTGAGGCATGTTTAGGAAACCAGATTTTGTTCTCCTGTCTGGAGGGGCCAAGAGATCATGCTTGGTAGATCTGGTTGATCTTGTTGGGCTTCTGAGATATCTCCTGGCTCCCAACCTTGTCCCCAAGACAGGAAGTGAGGGTCTTTCCTTCCTCCTTTCCTTCCTTCCTTTCATCCATCTCCCTATTTTCCTTTCCCCCCCTTTCTCTGCCCCCCTCCCCCCTGATTTTAGTACATTATAAAAAAAACAAGGTAGGTTCTAATTCTGTTGGCATGGTATAAAATTTAATAAATAGCATTGGACTGTTTATAAAAATAGCAAATAACAGATAAATTATAATTTCAACGGCAAGATACAGTCATATTCTTTGGTCTGTCAGCCAAATTCTTATCACCTCATACACAGGGATGGCTTGTGAAACCAAATTACAGGTACAGTATTAACAATATTTTAAATCCTTTTGGTGCCAGAGTGGAAAGTCGTCTCCCTTCGTACCAAATGCTCCCGGCTGGCTGTTTCCTCGCCTTCTGCTTCTTGAGAGCAATTCCCTTTCAAGTGGGCTTCTCAGCCAAAGCTGCCCCTCCGCCTGAACCTCAGAGCAGCCCCTTCGGATTACTTGGATGCGGAGTCCGGATCCAGCCCAGCTGCTGATTTCTCCAGAATGATTCCCTCCACACGGCTGCCGCTTCCAACAGAGGTCAGCCTTGCTTGGGAGGTGAGCTCACTTACAGTTCCTTTCTGAAATTATTTTGAAATTATAACCATTCTGGGCAGAAGGGGAGGCATGAATAAATAACATTCTTATTTTATGAATACAACTCACTTTAAATAATGGGACTCCCCTCCCCCCGCTTCCCTCCCCCCAAAGATGTTAATTTCAGATCCAGGAAGATTAAAATAAATTACATAAATATAGCAGCCCTTTTACAACACTAGGCTATCACAGTTTTGCAAACACGACGTTTTTCACCAAGCCCTTGAGCGACGGCCTCTCCTGCCAGGGGAGAAGGGCCAACATGGCACAACAGGATGCAGAAAAGGTTCACCAGGAACCTCCTGCCGGAGCAGTGAATCTAGCATGCGTGGGGAAAGGCATCCTTTAGCCGAGGTGGCTCTTTGGGGCAAGGAGAAGGACCTAAATAAGACAAGCAACCCGTGAAAAGCCTGCTTGGGAATCCAGAGCTCTGCTCCGGATCATGGTGAGGTTAAGACTTCCTCCACTGTGGTGCCCTTCAGACACATGGAACGACAGATCCCATCGTCCGCAGGGCCTCTGCAGGTCACCGTGTGGAGGGAAGCGCGCGGAATACAGAACAATCTGCAGCTCCCCTGATCCCGGTTCTTCTGAAGGCAATTTGGTAGTAGAGAACTGTCATTTATGGAGGAGTCGGTGTGCTTTCCGGCTGCGTTTCTGACCTGGGCAGCCTTGGCCGGTCACAATGGCCCCTGCAGGATTTCACCTAAGCGGGTGGTGGTTCGGGGGTCGTGGCGGTGGCGGAATAGGTGCTGGAGCTGGTGGATGTCCACTTCCAGGAGGTGCACAATGTTCAGGCCGACCGCTGCCTCCAGGCACTTTGGCGATTGCTGGAAGGAAGGAAGCAAGCAGAGATAATGAACCCTCTGCCCCCACATGCTGTTTCATCCCTGTGGCTCTCTCGGGCTTCACCTATGGAGGCTCTACAGGTAGCCAAACCATAAAGGGGCTCAACCCACCTCAAAATTCAAGGTGATTGAACACATTTGTTAGAGGGACCCATTCCATTAGACCAGGGCTCTCCAAATTTGGTAACTTTTAAGACTTGTGGACTTTGACACCCAGAATTCCCCAACCAGGATGTGTGGACTTCAACTCCCACAATTCAAGCTGGCTGGGGAATTCTGGGAGTTGAAGTCCACAAGTCTTAAAGCTGCCGAGTTTAGAGAAGCCTCCATGAGACCGCCAGTTTTAAAACTTGGCCACTTTAAAAGGTGTGGAATTAAAATCCCAGAATTCCCCAGCCAGCATGAATTGTGGGACTTGGTCCCCACATCCTGGCTGGGAATTCTAGGCGTTGAAGTCCACAAGTCTTAAAAGTTACCAAGTTTGGAAAACATTATATTAGATTCTAGGAGACTTACACAATCCAGAAAACAATAAAAGCAATTAAACCCACATAGGCAGCTAGCCTGGACTAAAACAGCAGAAACAATAAACCATAGAAATACAATATCTCGTTGCTCACCTGAACGCTGCTGGCGTTGAATTTCTGGATCTCTTCTTTGAACTGCTGGAGGAGGCTGGACTTCTGTCTGTGGGGGGTTTTGTCCCTGATCTGAAAAAAAAAGAGGAGGGGGCTGAGCCAGTGTTGCCTCCCTCCCTGGTCCCCAGATGTGGGAGGGGAAGGAAGAGGCCTCTCTCTGCAAGGCGGTACTTACACAGGCAGCCAGAGCCTCCTGGAATGGATGGAGGAACTCCAAAATCTTGGATGCGTGCTTGGAGAAGGCAGGCTCACTGAGGTTCTGCAAAACGGGCACCACCAGGGCCAGTTCCGCCTCCACAGCCTCCATCTTGTCCCATTTCTACCAAAAAAGACGACACCTTATTATTTTGGAATATTCCAAATGGAATTTGGGGGGGGGGGGGGCAGAAAGCAGGATTTGACCTGGGCAGGATCTCCCCTTCTTGAGATTTGCTTCTAACACCCACCAAGGGTTGATGCCAGGGAGGAGTGGCTGGACACTGTCTCGTGGCCAGAGCTGGTCTGAAGTGGGGCTGGCCAGACTCTCCTCCAAAGGCATCCCAGCTAAGGCTGCCCCTTTAAGGTTAGTCACCTGGGAAGATCAGGGGGCTCTAACATGCCCAAACTCTGCCATTCAAAGTCACTGGGAGATCAAAAGCCTTGGGATATGGACCGAAGAGATCCACAGAAAATGTCCTCCTCCTCCTCCCTGAAATCCTGGGCTGGGGGGTCGGGCTGCACCGATGCCATCCTTTGTTGGCCCCTGTGCCTGAGGTGCCACCCTCTGTCCTCCCCCTTGGCTGGGGTCTGGGCTGGCAGGAGTCACTTACATTTCTCAAGTGGTGCATCTTCCCTCGGGGGAAGCGGAGATGGTGGCGCGTGCAGTTTTTCCAGGGTTCGCCTCCTTTGAACCTCTCGTCCTCCTGGAATTGGGAAGGGAAAAGAGAGGCAGCGTTGAAGTATCAGGAAGAGAGAAAAGGCTCCAGGGCTGCCCTGGAAGCTCCCAGCCTGGGGGTTCTGGGTGGTGGTGGGGCGTGTGTTTGGCAGGCCGTCTCTCCTGGCCCCATCTGGGCAGCTCAGCCTGGCTTCTATGGCTGCGAGATGGTCCAGTCACAATGGCTGCCTTTGCAAGACCTTTCTAACCAGGGGAACATCTCGGTGAAGTTGGTGGATTGATTAACAACAGATCCCCCCTGCCCCCCGCCCGCCCTCCCCATCTGTAATCGTATCACGGTGTTTATGAGATTATATCTATTTCTCTGTCTATCAAATCCTAATCTAATCTAATCATATCATATATCAAATCATATCTTTGTGCCCAGTTATATTTTATAGGCTGCCCAGAGTTACCCTGTGGTAAGATGGGCAGCCAATAAATTTTACAAATAAATAAAAACGAACCACCTTCAGAGACAGTCAACTGCCAGGGCCCGGAGGGTCTCCCCAGCTGTCTGTCTCTCAAGATCCATTCCCTCCTGGGCTCCAAGGGGGCTCTGTCCAGGGTCTTCCACCCACCACTCAGCCTGCAAAAGGGCCCCTCCCAAGAGCTTCCAGAGGGCTGTCTCAACCCAGACCTCGCCCCCTTGATGAAAGCCCCCATGCTCCCCAGCCCGAAGACGGCCCTGGACTGCAGCTCCAGGTGAGGACTTACATATTGGTTCCTGAGTTGCCTAAAGGCGTTCAAATGTTCAGGTATTTGGGGGAAATAGCAGGATCCGATGGGCAGGCTCTGCACCCGGGCGACTTCTAGCAGGATCACAAGGGCAAGAGGCCCCAGCAGCCACTTCCTGGGACCTGAAGCAAAGGAGGCAGTTAGGGACGGGGAGCTCGCCTCTCCCTACCAAGACATCTCTATGCTCCGAAAAACACCTGTGTCTGTAACCTTCAACCGGGCAAAACAGAACATCGCAGGGCATCAATTTTTGAACCAGGATCACCTCAAAGGGCTAACTTACAGAATGCATCCAAACTCTGGGACCCGCAACTCCGGTGGTATTGAAATTTTGCAAGATTGTGGCCAATTCGGTGCTGATGAAGCACCGTGGTCGGCCGTGACCATCATTTTCAATGCTTCCTGCCAGATTCCTACGTCCAAGGCCAGCAAACAGGTAAGTGGCTGTTACCAGGTGTGCGAGAGGTGCATTGGGGGCCAGGGAGGGGCTTGGGGGTGCATGAGAGGCCCGGCACAGGCCAGGGAGGGTATATGAGCTGTGGGTCAAGGAAGACGTGCCGGCATGCAAGTCAGGGCTGTGAGGTCAGGTACAAGGGAGTTACGCAAGGTTTGCGGGGATTGTGCAGGGGTGCGTGAGTTATAAGTCAGATAGTACCTCCCAAAGGATGATGCCCTCATCTTGGGAAATCTTGTCTTTTTCAGCAGGATATGGCCCTAATGTACTAGACCACAGGGCCATTATCCCTGGCCAGTGGCTGCTGGATTGGGAGGCCCCCAGATGGGTCCACACCTTTCAGCCCCCTGAAGGGTATTCTATCGTCTCCCGGGCTGGATGATCATCACATCTGGAAGGGTACCAAGTTGTGCAGGTGAAGCAACGGGTTGAAAGGAACTGGGTGCCTGGGACCGCTCTATGCCTGGCTTGTTTTAGAACAGGGGTAGGCAACTTTGGCCCCTTTAGGACTGGTGGACTTCAACTCCCAGAATTCCTGAGCCAGCCATAGTGGCTGGAAGTTGAAGTCCACAGGTCATAAAAGTGTGTTGGCCACTCTTATTTTAGAAGGGCTGGTGGATGCTGGTAACCCTTTTTTTAATGAATGGGAGCAGGAACTTTCTGGTAATTTCCCTCATATCAGACCGGTGTGTGGAAGGGAGCAACGTTGGTGCAAATTCTTCGGATGGCTGTGCCAACTTTCAAATGCTACAAGTCGTTCATTCCTCATGTCGTTCAAAGATGATAATAATTCCACAGGGCTGGTGGTTGATTGCATTAAACGCTTAATGAACGCTGTCACCTACATGAAGCCTCCATGGTCATCAGTAGTCTACCTTCAGTACTAAACCTACAAGGAGAGGCAACCACCTCAGAAGCTTCCGGTTAGGTTGGCTTCTTGTCCACCCCACTCCTCCTGTGAATGCTTGACACTCGGACAAATCTGCCATCAGTAGACACATAGAAATAAGCGACGTTCATAATCATTATTCAAAAGAGACAATGAGCTAAGAAGGGAACAAAAAGACCAGAGCATGTCCTCTCTAGCAATTAAAACCTAGATAAGCAGGGATTAATACCAGAGAAACAATCAAGTGGAAAACAATAACCCAGATAAGCAGAAATTAACACCAGACAAACCCATCTAGCTGAAAACAATACTTTGATCAAAGCACTACCAAGAAAGAAACCACACCTCCACCAACACCGGCAGGGCAAACTCCTGCATGTAAACAGGTGGCAGACCTCCCACTACCCATACTGGAGATGTTACCTAGTTGGGTAATGAAACATTGGCAAGAAAACCACCAGGCTCAGGAAGCACCGAGGGCTCCGAGCTACACAGATTTCTTTCTTGAAAGGTAATTGCCTTGACTCCCCAGTCCTCGCTAGGTCGCCCAAGCCATTTGTCCCCGCTTAGGGCTTCAATTACTTCTCTGTCAGTACATTTGCATTGGGAAGTTGAGTAATTGGGCAATTAGGACGCCAGACCCCCACGGGGGAGGGGGGGCAGCAGGGAACAGTCCCTGGGACCTAGCAGGAGTGGGAGATCTGTCCTTGGGGTCCTAAATCTCTCGGCTCTTTGAATCTCCCTCTAGGCCGGGGGATTGTCCACCTCATTTTCATTATTCCCGGTGAAGGCGAGAGGCGATGGTCTCCTTATGCACCCAGTTGCTGGAGTGTCTGAAGGGTTTCAACCGCCAAGTCAAGATGGTGGTCACAATTCTGGACCTGAACCCTTGACTTACAACAGCTCAGAGACCGTTACAACGGTGACTGTTCAAAGCCATTATGACCGTTGCACCCTCCCATAGTCCTGTGCTCAAAATTCGGCTGCTTGGCAACTGGCTCATATTTATGACGGTCGCCGTGTCCCAGGATCACCTGATCCTTTTTTGCGACCATCTGACAAAGTCAACGGGGAAGCCACATTCACTTAACGACCGTCTTACTAAGTTGACACCTGCAGTGATTCACTTAACAACTATGGCCGAAAAGGTCATAAAATGGGGCAAAAGTTCACTTAACCAATATCTCGCTTAGCAACAGAAATTTTGGGCGCCATTGCTCCATTGGGGTCTGGAATCAATTACAAAATTACGGCCATCGTCTTCACTTTTGGACCCACGTCCCCCAAACACTCGTGCAGGGCGGCTTTGCCCACTCTGGTACCCTTTTGAGGTGTCCAACTCCGCTCCCATAGCCGCCAGTGTCTCCTGGAGCAGACTCATGGGAGTTGGAGTTGGACACATCTGGAAGAGGCCGGCTGGGGAAAGGATGTTACATCCAAACGAAAGGCGGTTCTTGTGAAGAGCGGAGAGCTATTCCCTACTTTAAAGAGTTATATACTCTTCTCACTAAGCACCGGGCCTCTCCCAAATTTTTAGATCTCTCTATTTCCCAGCGGTTCCTCGGTCTCTGCTGCAGAAGGAGAGAGAATAATTTCCTGCCACTTCTGGGGCCCTTCGGCCAACGGCAAGACCGGCCCTATCTGGCCACTGGAGGGTCACATCCGGTGAGGTGTGGCTCCTGCCTTGCTGAGCGTGCTCCAAGCACGGATGTCCAAGCCAAGGAAGGAACCTTGCAGATGAGCCCCTGGAAGCCCTGCACAACCCTCCACGTCTCTGACCTCCACGTCTTCCACCTCAGTCTTTCCCAGACCTCCAAGAATGAGCACCCACCATCCCGGCTGCAAAGGAGACTTCCAGGAACTGACTCACCTGCCCCGGAGGATGGGCTGCAGCTCCGGTGGCGAAGGGAGAAGATTTCCATCTTGGAGTCCATGCTTCTCTGGTCGGCTGTGCCTGCTGGCTGAAATCCCAGCTAAGAAAACCTGACAATGTCCTGGGCCTTCCATGCTTCCTCTTTTTATATCGCTCACGGTTTTTCAGTTTTCGGTTGGATCCTGAAAACAAGCTGGTCCTACAGGTGACGTTTGGAAAGCAAGCAAGAGAAAATGAAAGTGAGCCATCCAGACCGGGATCCCCAGGTGAGGTCATTGCTGGAGGAAGCCCTTTCGTTTTGCAGGAGGAGGAGCCACGGGAGGGGTGCCAGGTGTGCAGGGCAGTCCTGGGCTTTCCGCGGCTCTCCAGCTGAGTCTCTGTGCAAGGATTTGAAACTCCAAGGCCGATTCGAGCAAGGCTGAGGAAGCCCCAGGCCGGCCGAGGAGTGGGAGAAGTGGACCTTGGCCAGCAGTGGAGGAGGACACCCAGCACGGAGGCGCCTTGCCTGCCCGCCCTCCAGGCCAGGCTTCGGGTTCAGCTTCCAGCCCTGGCGGAGAGGGAAGCAAGAATCAATCAGAATAGAGCTGGAAGGGACCTTGGAGGTCATCTAGTCAGGGATTGTTTTCAGGAAAAAAAGATATGGCTATAATGGGGAGGGGGAGTATTTGCTGTAGCAGTTTGCCCCTTGAGAGTTGTGATGGGCAAGAAGGACCCTGGCGCGTGTGGTCTCTGGATGGAGGTGACAAGTGGTGCCCATCCTCTGCTGGGGAGGTCAGCTTCCAGAGTGCCACCCCACCCCTGCAATCTGGGGAGGTGGGTTGAGGGCCAAATGCTTGAGGATGGGGCCAAAATCTCCCCAAAGAGTCATTAGTGATGTAATACCACAGAGGTGTTCAACCTTGGGAACGTTAAGACTTGTGGACCAACTCTCAGAATTCCCCAGCCAGCAAAATGTTGATCATCTCCCCAGGATTCACTTCCTGTTGCTGTTTCCTCCCTCGGGTCCAGGAAGGAGGGCTCCAAAGGGGTTCCTGTCCAGGGGGTCAGAGATCCACCCCCCTTCCACCCCTCTTTCTCTCTTGGCCCATCCAGGCTGGCTGGTTCCTTTCTCCACCTGGACCGGGAAGGGCGGAGTGATGGGTCATGGGTGGCTCCTGTCTGCCCCAAAAGCGTGTTTTGTGCCTCTTCGGGAGAAGCTATTTGTGGCCGGACCTGTTGTTGGATCAGCTCCCCCCCCCCCCCGCCCACTTAGACACACACACACACACACACCGTCTCCAGAAGCCTTTCAACAACCATTTTGCAGGTTTATCGATCGGCGTTCCCAGTTTGGTTGCCTCCGCCTCTTTAATTCCAGGGCAAACCTCTTAGAGATGCCCACCACGGATTAACTCAGCCCCCTCCCCAAGATAAGCAGAGCGGTTTATCTGCTAGTGATGTCCCTCCCTAAACAGTATCGATCCTGAAGCCGTTTGCATGGAAAGTGGGAGGAAGGAAGCAGGTTGACCTGAACTGGAGCTGAAGGAGAAAAAGAAGAAAATGTCGAGCTTTATTTCTACTCCCCACAAGAGCCTCTCAGCCTCTGGCGAGCAGTTTTCGGTTACGCCAAATCTGGACATTGCTGGACATTTGATTCTGTTTGGGAAATGAGCAGTTGGGACATAGAGGTAGTCCTCGACTTACGACCACAATTGACTCCAACATTTCTGTCGCTAAGCGAGATAGTTGTTAGGTGAGTTTTGCCCCATTTTACGACCTTGCTTGCCATAACTGTTAACTGAATCCCTGCACTTGTTAAGTTAGCCACACAGTTCTTAAATGCTTCCGGCTTCCCCATTGGCTTTAACAGATGAACAGAGTTGGAAGGGACCTTGTAGGTCATCTAGTCCAACCCCCTGCCCAAGCAGGAGACCCTGCCCCTTTTCTGACAGAAAGACAGTCCAGTCAGGATTTGCTGGTCAGAAGGTCGCAAAAGGGGACCACGTGACCCTGGGACCCTTTCAACTCTCATAAATAGG